ACCATTAGCATCTATCAGTAATTGGGCTAACCCTAAAAAGATAAAGTGAAAACCCTTTGACACTGCTGTATGATGAAGTATAGTCAGAAAAAGGAGCCGAGGTCACAGAGCCAAACAGCTGAGAACAAGCCCAGTTTTCCATTAAAGCCAGGCTGGAAATTTCTCATTGAATGTAGCTTGCAAAAATTGGCTACTGGATTGCAGCAGCCACTTGCCACGAGATCCCTGACCACAGCTCTAAGGCACTGGTGCTTTCACCTGGATTTGCTAGGTTCTCTCTTACTTGTGATTTCTCAACCCATTTTTGCCGTCTTTGCTGTTTTCTTCTTCCTGGTCGAGTTGTCCTGGTGGGAAGGTCCAAGCGTAGCGTGGTCCACCAGCCTACTGCTAGCTCAGGCTGAGAGCATCAATATTCAAACCCCCAGACGGTGATTAATCTGTTCTTGCGACTGTGCCCAGAGACCCAAAAGGCAATTAAGCTGGTGCTGCTGGGTGGAAGGTAATTTCATGATGCTTCCTCCAGATGGCCAGATCTTTTCAGGACCATGTGTTCCTGTGATGGCGGGGCTGTATAACCATACAAAGCACCATGTGAACAACAGTACAGTGCAGCCAGGATGCTGCATGGCTGTCACTGGGTCAGTGAGTGGATTAGCAAAGGCTGAACAGGAGACAATCTGAAGCATTGCTGGGGAAAAACAGTTGGAGGCCATCTACTGCAAGGACTGGCTTTTCTCTCCAGTTTACTTGTCCACTTCAAATTAAGAGCATAGTTGTGAGTTTAGCATCAGAGGGCTGCACCTTCCTGGTGGCTGGGAGGGATGGAGGAGCATCATGGGCCTGCGATGCCCAGGGCTGACTTGGGTACCCCAAGGCTCGCTGGCAACAGCGGTATCTACTTGGTGCCCACGGCACTAAGCACCATGAGCTTTTTAGTGCTAAGTCCTCTGAACACTTATCAGCTCCACCGTGGTACTGCTGAGAAAACATACACCTGATACTGCAGGGCTGTTAACGGTGGCAAGTGAGGGATCAAGACTTCTTGAAGACTTTTCTCTCCAGGGGCTACGGAGAGTAAGGAGGGATAGATATATTATAGCATCACCCAGCTTCACCATTTTGTTGAACTTCACCAAAGTCAGTGGGTTTTTTTCTTTGAAGCCCCCTCCCGGAGTAAGGAGACCCTTAGGTTTCCTTTTCTAAGAAAATTAACCCTCACAGCTAGCTTGAGGGTTATGACCTTCTAGCAAAATTGAAGGAAAATGGTAAATAACTGCACAACATAGTAAATTTTTAAATTATTGTGACCTTCTGGGGCCAGACTTCTGGAATCAAAATCGCCCTGATGGCATTTCCAGGAACAGGTGTGCTCCTTGAGAGCTGGTGCTGGGAGAGAGCACTGGAAAGAGCTGCAGGGAGAGAGGTGACCTAAACTGTGGGGTGCAGAGCTCACACAGGTTTGTATTTATTAGCAACTCAGCAGGCCCTGGTGCTAGCTGTGTTTTGGGGTAGTTGACATCCCCTAGGGAGGTCCAGATCAGAACCCATCCACATCAGACCTGCCACCTACTCTGGCTGCACCCCAGCCGTAGCAAACGTGTCTGTACACACCAACACCCTGTAAATGCCTGGTGGAGGAGGCAATTACTGACCGGGATGGAAAGAGTTTACCTGGGCTTTGTGTCCAAAGGGGCTTTCCAAACCTCAGCATGTGCCTGAGTAAATAGCTCCTTCCCTTTGTCCCCATTGTCACCCTGCCAGAGTGGCAGAAGCGTTACCCATTGCTGGGTTTTCCCCAGCACAGCAGGGCTGTCTCTGGCTTAAACGTGGCTTTGAAGAGCCCAAGGATGAAAAGCTCAGCACTGGACCACCTGGCTGGGGGAGGCTTCAGGCAGGACTCCCCTTGTACCATGGAGCAGCCCCAAATGATGCTCTGCCAGTCCCATCTCACCATCAGGGCATCTTCCCACCAGTCCACACTGCCACTCTTCCCTGTTTAGTTGACCATAATTATTCCCAGCCCACACACATTCCATCGCCTGGACACAGAGCCTCTCCCAGCCATAGGTAAGTTACGAACCCCTCTGTTCTCGTCTGCACAGCACAAAGTCCAGATGCCACAGGACTTCATTGCATCAGTCTCTCACTAAACCCTCTGATCTCCCCTATCATGCTGACAGGTGACTAGCTGGCAGGCTTCTAAAGCAAAGAGGTGCATGTTGCCCATGGCACAGTGGCACCTCCTGATTTACCCCTCTTGCTTCAAACAGGGGCCTCAGCCACCTGGAACTGCCCGGTGTGCCCAGTGGGACAGCCTGGCTCACCTCCATCTGGGCACCACACGCTCCCCAGGGTTAAATCACTTACACCACTCAGTTACAAGCCAAGTGACTGTGTTTAATGTAATTTAAACCTTCCAGACCCCTTTTTTGCTCCTGTGCATTGAGTTCCCTTCAAAGTGCCCAAACGCTCCGGGGATGGAGGGATCCAGGGCAAGTATCCACATGGAAATAAGTGCCCCTGGGGCAAAGTGAGGGACGGAGAGGTAAATATATAAATGAATAACCACGAGACACGGCGCTTCCTGTCCCTCACCCACGCCTGGCAATCATTACTGGGACCGAGCTGCCCATGACCTCTGGAAACGGGGCAGAAGGGGGTGAAATGCAGCCATTCTCACACGGCAGCTCTGGGGCTGCTTTTGAACCCCCACACCCAGACACCACAGGGCTTCACCCCACCAGGGCAGGACCAGGTGCCAAAAACCTTCTCCCCCCAGCTGCCCCAGGCTGGCTCAGCCCAGCAGCTCACCATGTTGTCGCGTCTCTGGTTTCACCTCTGTTTGTAGGGTAAATGATTAACCTTGAATCTTGGAGCTCGTTCAGCATTTCTCCCCAACCTCTTCCTTCTTTTAAATGCCCAGACATACTGAAAATCAAATAGTGCCTGAGTCCCTCCTGGGGAGCAAACAGACAAAGCTGCTGGCGGTCTTGGGCAGGTGGGGACAGGCCTTTTTTTCCACTTCCAACAGCCTTTTTCCAGAAGACTAAGGAGGATGGAGAGCAGCGCCATGCCCAGAGGGACCCCCTTGGCCGGCCCGGGTGTGCGGGACAGTGCTCCAGTCAGCTGAGGTGGGCGAGCTCCCCCAGACCCCTGCCCTGCAGAGCTGCCCACCCACCACCCCATCTCCCCAGGATTTCCTGTGGCACAGAGTTGCTCTCGGTTTCTGTGGATTGCGCCTGTGTTATCCCAGCTCCACTGTGGAGAGGATCAGTTCAGTTGGTACTGGGGTATGTATCCCTTCTTTCCTTGCCCGTGGGCTCCTATTTTATGGTCCTCCTCCCTGGCTCCCTCCACCACACAGCTCACCCCTTTGATCATTGGTGCTGCTCCACTCTGGCCACAGAGCCCCCAAGCAGGGTTTGAGCTAGGGACTCAGCCCCCTTCCTACTGAAATCCCTGGAAAATGGGGTGTCCTCCTCTCCCTCCCACCTTCCGTATGGGCTGTTACGGGATGAGCTCCTGAGCAAGGCAGTGAATGATTAAATACTCCCCTGAGAGGGTGTGAAGCAGGGTCTGAGCCCCAACTGTGCGAGCAGCACTGCAAACCCATGGGAAGACGCAGTCCCTGCAGTTTATAGCCCGTGAAATAACCATGCGCAAGGGAGCGAAACAATGACCAAACTCGGACTGAGGAAGGATGAGATCTATTTCCAGAGTCCCAACATGTCTGTTCGCTGCAATCATATTTCAGTCTCTGGCTCCTGTGAGCTGGACAGACCTGAGACAGGCAGTTCCTGGGTGACCTCAAGCAGTAGCTGCTTCTAATGATTTAAACTGATCGCTGAGCTGCCTTGAGCGTGCTGTGGGGAAATGTCACATTTCCCATCCTCAGAGCTCTGCAATGTACAATGTCCCCGTGAGCGGGCCATGTTAGCTGCTGACCGGGTGAGAGCCCTTTGCAAGGGAGGGAAGGCAAAACCTCTGTCTCTTTCCCCTTCCCAAGCACTTGGGCCAGCCCTCGGGGTGGGCAGAGGGGAGCTAGTCTGTCTGAAGCAGGGCAGGAGCCGAGCAAGTGCAGGGAATGTGACTACAGAGCCCAGTAGCACTGACAGGAGCACTTCTGTTGAAATCTGAAATCTCCTGCAGCATCCCCTGCAGCTCACACAGGGGCTTGCTTGGCCCTCGAGATACCCATTCTCAGCACACCAGGATGCAGTGCTCTGAGGCAGGATGAGTGATGTGAACCTTTACTGCATCGTACAGCCTCCTGCACTGTAACCATGACGATTTGGAGTGTGGAAATTGCTGTGGGTTTGGTGGAAGGGGCTAGAGCAGAGCTTAGCCACCAGCCGGGGACCGCTCACCCCTGGGCCACCTTCTATCAGCAGCAGCAGCAGCAGGTCAGGGCTTGAGCAGGGCAGAAGCAGCAGCACGACCCAAAGTTGCTGTATCCACATGAGAAAGTGGCAACATCTCAGTGAGACTCAGGAAGGGTTATCATTCCTACGTGGCTGGAAATCCACCTAGAAGAATGGAAAGTAAAACCATATCCTGTTACCAACCAAAATGGTATGTTCACACAGATTTCATTATCTCTGACATTTAGTGATTCCTTGGTGCTGGAGAAATAGCTGCCATTTGCCTGATTTATGGAGTTAAGTAGAGCTTTCCAGAGCTAAAAGCAGGTCAGCACCTGGTATCTGTGACTAGAGAGATTGTTTCAGTAGCTACAGGCTAGAACAACTTGCTCTGTCCTTGTATTAGGCACAGGAAAGGGATGGGCCAGATGTTCAGTCCAGGACTGACTTTGGACACACAGTAATACCCTGTTATGAACATCTCATCTAATTCTGCTGTTTTATGCAGTTCAGTGATTACTGTCAACCTGTTTGGAAAGCTCCTTATTGAAAGACAAGATGAATAGAAATACAGAGTCAGACCCAAGGAGCGTGACCTCAGAACCAGCCTCACTGACTAACAGTGCAGGGGAGGAAAAGATGGAGGTTGCTTCTGAACAAAGCAGCCCAACTTTGCATAGCAGGGACAGTGGGTTCTTTGAAAGAGGTATTAAAACAATGTTAAGCATCCGGAAATCAAAACGAAGTCCGAACAAAGAGAAAGGAAAGGAAGGTACCGGCACTTGGAAAGGAAAACGACTTTCTTTGCGATTCTCCAAGAGCTATGAGGAGAACAAAACCACGATCTGTAATGGTGTGGAGGAGATTAGTGAGAAGATAGAAGCAAAGCCCGTTCAAGGAAAGCCTCTTTCAGGTAAGAAGCATAACCACCAGTGTAATTTGCTTGGCAGGATATACATAACCTTCAAGTAATTTACACTTTGCAAGTCTTGCGCCCAACAGAGGTGCTAAAGAACAGGCACCCCATTACGGGGCAGAGACAACTGTCACCCCTTGCACAAACACGTTGGGGCATTACCTGGCCCGGCCTGGGCAGATCACCTGTCACTGAACATGCTGCTGTGTGGCCTCCACCGCGTTAGTTTAAGCATATCAACAACCTACCTATCAACCTATCAGCTCACATATCAGTGGACATATCGCCCCTCAGACATATCAGTCACCAATCTGCTGAGCACAGTTTGGGAACTGCTGGTCTGACAATATCTAGAAGTGCAGTGTGGGCTATTCCTACACTATTGCCTGCATTTTACTTTGGGACAATTTCTGCTCTTCAGCTCTCAGACTGATGGTCGCCAGACTGTACTCTGTAAGTTGCTGCAGGGCCTTGATGGGGAAAAAAGATGGTTTGGATGTGATCTGGTTTGGCACCTCCAACTTGGTTCCTAATCTTAGAGACTGCCTGGTGAATAGACCTCCACAGGTGCTTTGCTCTCTTACACTGAATTCCCATCTATTCTCACAACAGCAGTGCTGCAAGTATTTGTTCAGTTTGTTTTCCTCACACTGGTTATTCTCAAGCATTTTGTCAGCATTATATAGATAGGTCTTAGTCAAATTATAGTAACTACCTTCAGTGTAGCTCTCACCTTTCCGCAAGTGTGGGCAGACTGCAAGGACTTTGATCTTGGTTTGAGCACCGTTCTCCTCCACCTTCTCAAGGCTGAGGTACTACAATGCATGCACCAGGAGATAGACTGAGGTGGGTCAACATGGCTTCACCTTTCCCCAGCCTAAATTTCTAGAAAGAAATTCTTGGTCTACTGCATCGGATGTCATGGGTACCTGTCCTGGTTTCAGCTGGGATAGAGTTAACTGTCTTCCTAGTAGCTGGTACAGTGCTATGTCTTGAGTTCAGTATGCGAAGGATGTTGATAACGCTGATGTTTTCAGTTGTTGCTCAGTAGTGTTTAGACTAGAGTCAAGGATTTTTTTCAGCTTCTCATGCCCAGTCAGGGCACAAGAAGTTGTCACAGGACACAGCCAGGGCACCTGACTCAAACTGGCCAACAGTGTATTCCATACCATGGAACGTCCCATCTAGTTTAGGAACTGGGAAGTGGGGGGCGGGGAATCACCGCTCGGGGACTGGCTGGGTGTCGGTCGGCGGGTGGTGAGCAATTGCCCTGCGCATCATTTGTACATTCCAATCCTTTTATTACTACTGTTGTCATTTTATTAGTGTTATAGTTTATTAGTTATTAGTTTCTTCTTTTCTGTTCTATTAAACCGTTCTTATCTCAACCCACGAGTTTTACTTCTTTTCCCGATTTTCTCCCCCATCCCACTGGATGGGGGGGGAGTGAGTGAGCGGCTGCGTGGTGCTTAGTTGCTGGCTGGGGTTAAACCACGACAGCATCGAAGGGCTGACATTGTCTCACTGCTATAATGTGCTCTACTGTGCCATGAAGTTATTTACTGCTTTGCACTGATACATTGTGAGGTTGGTAAGCTGGATCTGAGCCCATCTCATAAACTTTGCTAGTCTGTTCTCAAAGGGTCTTAGATGAGAAGCAACAGGAAATGTTACCATAAGCCCTTTTCTTCTCCTGCAATAAACAAGCTGAGGAATTGCATGAATAAGGCCCATCCTGTGCCCAATAACTCATGATTGGCCTAGACTAGAACAGCTCTGTCAGAAACACGTCCCATCCTGAGATAAATATGGCAAGCGATGGAGACTCCACCATGTGCACCATTAAGCTGCATAATGGTTAATTGCTTTTCAATTGTCTTCCTTCAACTACCAGCTGGCTGATCTTGTATTGCTAAATTAAAGATCCATTTAGCACCCAATATCACCTCCCTGACTAATTATCCTAGATGGTGATTAAATGGTGTTTTCTCACTTTGATAAACAGAACAGAATGTATTCCTTTAGTCTCTCACTGCAAGCACTTGTGCAAACACAGGTTTTATATTAATTTATCTAGAAGAGACTAAGTTAAGTGGCACAATCTCCCTCCCCTCTGAGTGCAGAAGCAACTGTAGCTCCATATAGGGACTCAAAGCTCTATGCATGCTATGCTGCATCAATAGTTGGGTTATTTGGTGTATTTCCATCTTCATACAGATACTCTCACACTGTACAGACTATTTGGTGCATATGGTATAAAATTTGTGTGCAGACAAGCCCAAGGGCATAAATTATGGGCTATGAACCAGTCCTTCATATCTTCCCTGAGTGCTCTCCAATTTTTCCATATCATTTTATGTGTGTATGTCCCAGAAGCAGTGGCCACACATGCCTAAGTAATACCCTTTCCCTTCTCCTCTTTAATATTTGCCTTATGCCCAGTATCACAGTGGGATCTCCTGTTCAGAGCATCTGTTATGATGCTGGAGATGGTGAGAGCTTCCTGGGGCCTCTCTAAAGCTAACAGTGCTCTTGGATCTCCTCAACACATGGCAAATACTTCTTATGTTACTGGCAAATAGGCAGCAGTTCTTGCACAAGCAAGGCATTGAAAAAGAAATGGGAAACTCAGTAGACCTCAGCCACTTTGGGGGTAACACTATTTGGTGACTTTCCCACAGCCTCAGCCAACACCAGCCAGTATTGGTGCTGAGGCAAAGGAGGTAGGGAAAACCCATGTGAGACCTGAGCACCAGGAGAAAGCACTCACAGGTTTGGATCCCCCTCCAGTGCACACACCTCCCAAAACCATCCAGGGACAGCAGCGCTTGGAAGACAAATGTCACTGGTGAGAGGCAGTGCTGCGTATCTGACTGTAGGTTTACATAGAGGTGGTGAACAGCCAGGTCACCCAACCCTGAACCACCACAGGTGGGTGAACTTCACATTCCTGGCATACTTTGGCGTTCTTCCATTTCCTTCTGCTGGGACCCCGGCACCACCATCCCAGAGACTGTCCTCACTCCCCAGCCAAAGGGTTATCGCAGATTGCAATACCTACAGGGCTGAGAAGCTGTGGCTTCCGGTCCTCCAGAAGTCCCTCTTTTTGTTGAGAGAAGGCTGAGGACCACAAGCAATCACAGAACATCTCCTAAATGTCTGGAATAGCTAAGAGGCCAGCCATGAATGGGCCAGTCTCTGGCTTGCTACCTCAGTCGCTATATCTCAAGGAGTCATCATAACGCAAATCACCAGCGACAACCTCTGTAGTTCGCATTAGCATTTTGCTCAGCCTTCAGAAATGCAAGAGCCAGTTTGGCTGTGACATTAGTTGATCATGTGTCTTAGGAAAACTCGATAATGCACAAAATCAAGACAGGAGGGAAGCCTGGGGTTTGCCCAAGGTTACATCTGAACCGGGAATGTTCCCAAAAACGTATCATCAGGAGCATCCCCAAGCCAGTATCCCACTCCCCCAGGGCCTTGGTATCTCTGGAGGACATGCAGGTGGGTAGGCTGGGGCCAGACACGACCATCCAGTGAGATGTCTGACCTGGGAGCTCAGAAGGCCCAAAGGGGTCTGTCCTGCTGTGCTCCCTCCCACCCCTCCAGCCAGACCCCTGGGCACTCTCCCTGCCTTCTTGGGCAGCACACCGAAATGCTGTTTCAAGCCAGAGATGCCAGAGCTGGGCTGCACCACCATGGCCAATTCAGCAGCAGAGTGTGCTGGGCACTCTGGTATGCTGGGAAACAAGGGTATCTGTGCTAAAGGAAATCCTGCTGGTAAGGTATATCCCAAACTGTCCCTGCTGCAAGTCCCACTTCAGCTCCACACTAACAGAGGGGCAGAGCCAGAGGCAGTTTTATGCAGCCTGAGACCCCAGTGTCCCTCTGCGCAGCCTCATTAGCCGTTGCTTGAGGTTTTCCTGCAGGGCTATAATCAGTTTTTTGGATATCTCCTACCACTGAAACCAGTAGTTTAGAGATGTGGCTCAATTTGCAGTGATTGCATTTCTGTTGCTTTCCTCTCCTGTGTCAAACAGGAGCTGGAGAGACGAGGGGGGTCAGTCTCAGGGGTACTGCTGGGACCTGGCTACTCAGAGCAGCCCTGCAAACCTCCCTGTGAGGCATCTTGTCCTGTTACCAACCTGTCAATCACCTAATGCCTGCTTTGTCCCAACCCCTCCCCCCCATTCTTTCTGCAGTAATGGAAATCAATGAACTTATTCAGAAAAGGCAACTTTTGGAAGCATTTGCAAGCATCAGGTACTTGGAAGATGAGGCTATTGCTGAACGGGATGCTGAGAAATACCAAGATAACCCCCAGGAATTTGTACGGAAATCCAAGGATGTGGATTTGCTTTATAACTCTATCACAAATGCGATCCAGTCCATTGTGGTGGGAACGCTGGAGCATCCCACTGCAGAAGACACTATGCTGACCTCCCTGGTGACTTTAATTGCTTGTGAAGAAGCAGCTCATGCTAACACAGGCAATGCTGCTGGTCCTGGGTTGGACTTGCTTGGCACACCCAGAAAGTGGAGGGAGGAGTGGAGGGAAGCTATCAACAAGAGTGCTAGAAAAAGAGTCCTGAGGATACCCATGGCATCGAAGGAAGAAGAGAGTTCTTGGCTTGATCTCCACTTAGGATTCCTCCAGAAACAACTGAGTGAAGACTTACTGAAAATCAAGTTATCAGTAAAAAAGTGCTATCCAGAGGAGTACCAGGTGTGTGACACGTATGTGGAGGCTTTTCACAAGGCCATTGCCTCACACTTGCAAGATCTCTCCCAGAGACCGCTGGAATTCAATGAGCTCTACACCTTACTCAACTGGGTGGCCAACACCTACCGCAGGTAAGATGCTGCAGTTGCCCCATTGCTTCAGCCTCTTCCAGAGACCAGCAGGGCCACAGCGTGCTTTGAAAGCACCAAGCTATTTTTAGTTTCCTGAGTGAGGAAGAAACACAGTCTCTTCTACAGTAGAGCCAGATAGCCAATCTATTAATAGGTGGGGACAAACGTTTGTAAATAAAACACTTACTGCTTTTCACAGATCTAAATTACCTTGTTTTACACCCCTCTCCCACTTGCTGTTCTCACATGCCAGGAATCTCCTCCTTGCAGCTCTGATAAACCTGCTCCTTTTCTGCAAATATTTTGCAAGGTCCAGCAGCTGCACGGTGACTTTTCCAGGCACAGGGAGGGACCTGTGGGGGAGCCCTGCCTTCTTCCTTTTTAATTAAATCTGTGATGCATTTGGAAACGGGCCACGTTACCCTCCATGTTCAGGGGTCAGAGTTGTCTCAAGGAGATGCCAAGACAACACCATGTGGAATTAGCCACAGTAAAACAAAGGCTCTGGCTCAGACGTGTCCACTAGTTGAATGGGAGGTCCATGTTTTTTAGGACCTCTTAAAGCTCCCTGTAATTCAGGGGTGACTAAAATATTCTAGGAGCTGCATAGACGTATCAAACACCATCCTCAGGGCACCCTCTGCATGTGGGAGTAAAGGCAGGAATTCTGCACAACAACAGTAAAAACTGTGATGCTGGACATTGCCTCCTTTTACAGCCAAAGGAGACATCTAAGATAGGCACCTGTAGAAGGTCCAGGCATTGTTTGTCCTCAGTTGTTCACTGGGCTAGACCACAGACCATCATCCCAGCCCCAGAGATCTCCCAGACTAAAACCCAACAGAAATACACAGTGGGGTGGGAAGGAGAAGAGAGGCAACATCCACAGGAGTTGGGTCTGGTAATGAGCATGTAAAAACAGCCATGTCAAAGCAAAATGGTGTCTGCCCCAGTAACTGGTCTCCAGGAATGGCCTGAACCAAGGAAGGGACAAACGCAAACCAGTTGGCACCCTTCAAACAAACAAAAAAGGGAGTGAAGGCAGGAGTAGCGACACTGAGTCAAACAGTGGGCAAAAATGGACAAGGAAAGGGCAGCGGTGGAGCAGGGCAAGCAGCAGCAACACTTGCCCAGAGCACTCCTAGCCTGGGGTAGCTTTGGGGTCAGGATCATTTGTACTGCAGATGGTCTTTGTTTTGAACAGCCCTCAACAGATTTCTTCTGTGAACTTGTCCAGTTGCTCCCAAAACCCCATTTACGGTGTGGTGACTGTGATGACATGTGTGTAACCCCCTCAGCATCATGGCACTGGCTGACCAGCATTATGGCAGGACCGCTATGGGAGTGACACTCCCACCCGTTGTCCTCCTTCACGTGTCTCTGCTGATCTCATCTGGAGGGAAATTCCTGCATGTCCCCAGCCCCTGGGAACTGTACTGCACCCCAACATTGCAGGAGACAGGGGGAGAAACAAGCTTCAGCAGCCTGGTTCTGCACCAAAGTGCCCCCATCATATTTCTCTAACTTGCTGAGAAAGAGCTTATTAAGAGCTTGCAGCGTTTTGGGCACTGCTTGCAATCACCTTGCTGGGATGGGCTGTTTCCATTTGATTTTCTCATTCTCAAAGAACTTCATCCCCTCTTGGGACCCACCCCAAAAAAGAAGAAACTGTCTGACCCAAACTCATTATCGATGCTACAATTCAAACAACTGGGAAAAAAGGAAGAGGGGAATAAGCTCCTCGAGTATACAATTGAGCCAGTCATTTCAGTCATGGCAGAGAGTTTGTATTTAAATCTGTGGTGTCCTTTTAAATGAACAGCAGACTCTTGCAGCAGCTGGGCTGTGCAATGCTCCACACGTGCAGATATACCTCTCTGGGAAATTTGAACACTGACTCCAGGGCACTATCAGCATGCTGAGCTTTTTTTCTGCTGAGCAGTCAGTCACTCTGCACCAGCCTGACCTTGTACAGTGCAATCCTCACTTGGATCCAAACCTAACCGTGGGCTTGACGCTGGTTTGGCAATGGGAACGCTTTTTGGTGGTTGGGCAAATGAGCAGACTGTGTGTAGGACATGGCTGCTGTGTTCCCTGCTAACCAGGTGACTGCTTGCAAAAGTCATCAAGTGCATGAATATTTTCTTCTTTCTGCTCTCCACTTTCATTACCCTGAAAGATGCAATACCTCCACGGTCCATGGCAGATTGCAAGGGTAGCACATTCAATTGTACGGGCTAATAATGGGTTTCTCGCCCCAGAGGGAGAAACACAATCACTCCTTCCCTTTCTCTGCCTCCCCGCTAATCAGCTGGCCTCATTACACCACAGTCCAGAGGAGAGTGAGTGGAAAAGTTGCGTGTCAGCTGAGTGCACTTTGGAGTCAGACTCTGTAGCTGCAGGTCCACCCACTGCTTCCATCCGCGGAGGAACCGTGGTGCTGCCATGGCCCGTGTCCCAGGCATGGGAATGCCTTCCAGAGGCTGCCCTGCGCAGAGCAGGACCTGCTCTGCCACCTCCCCTTCCTAGGGATAACGCACAGGGAAAAATAACAGGATGACATAAGCCGTGATGTGACACCGGAGAGGAGCCAGGGAGATCAGCTAACTCCAAAGCAGCACGCTGCTACAGGAATTACCCTGAAAGGCATTTTGCAAGCTTGTAGTCAAATGAATCAGCTTCAGGTTGTTTATTTAAAAAAGTAAATTCTCATAGCACTTTTCATGTCCAAACAACTCAGAAGTCTCATGATTTCTAAGGTGGGCTGGAACCTTAGATCATTTTGATTTTGAATAATTAGGATTTTGAATAGCAAGGAAAGATTTTCTTGTTAAAGCTTGAAAACAAGCATCACAATTTAAGCTTTAAGTATATTTCTCACAGCTTAATAATTATGTAGCTCATGCCACATGAATATTCCATCAGTTTACTCACACTCCGAGGCAACGTAATTTGTTCGTTTGAATCTTTCCAGTGAACTCTTTCTGGGTCACCCCGATCTCAAACCAGAAGTTAAGACAGAAAACCTGTCCCTGCTGTTAACACCAGCTGATTGGGATAAACTGAAAAATGACTACATCGCTTCTGCAAAGGTGAGAGTTTTGTCCTTGTCACCACGTGCCCCCCAGGGAAGGTATGGGAGCCCCAGCCTCCAGGGCAGAGGTCTCGGATGGCTGCATCATGGTTTCTAGCCCCACCAGGTGCTGAGTCCTGCCAGCACCATGCAGAACGGCCTTTAATCAAAAGCAGAAAAGTCCTGAACACCAATTCAGGGACCGAAGCAGGCCATGGGCCCGAACCTGGGTGATCACAGAGCCAAAGGGACTGTACCAGACCCATATAGTATGGCAGAGGCTTACCGAAAGGTCATAGCTGGGCTTCATCAGACTGAATGCATTGCAAAGGTAGACGTAAAGGCATTTTAGCTGCTACTTTCACAACGTGTGATCTCCTCCAGCACATCAGAGGTTTGCTATAGACAGACAACTTTGGGCACGTCCCCGCCAAAGGACCTCCCCATGGTTGAGCTCCTCCTAGGAAGCCCCTTCTGCAGCGGTCTTTCTGCCGTCCTTGGCTGGGACCCTGTGTGAGACTACGTGCTTTCCTGGCTCTTTGCTGGGCTCAGACATCTTCTTGCAAACCATTTCTGAAACAGGGCACTGCTCAAGGTGAGCTCAAGGTACCCAGCTGAATAAAATCAGTATTGCTCCATTGTGCTGGTGAAGGATCATTTTGTTTCACCAGCAAAAAGATGGATTTATCAGCCAGGACTGAACAATGCTGCCACTTACCTGAGTGGCTGTACCACCAGAAAGGACTGGTTTGATCTTTAATCCTGACCTTGTGCACTACATGTGCTAGAGGACTTTGCAACCAACCAGTCAAACAGCTGGCACTATTGCCCTGCCAAGAGAATGATTCTCCCTTCATTTGAGAGTACCTTGCTCCCACACAGCACAGCTCCTGATTTTTCCCGAAATCCTGTGTAGACCGACAGCGTCTGGAGCAAGACCTTTGACTCTGCCTACCTTTCCGCACCGCACGCATGAGCCTTACACACGTGCTGACAGAGCAAAACACAGCGAGCCGCTTTACTCATGCTTGCTTGTTATCCTGAGCTGCATGTTTCCTTCCTACGTTTAACATTTAGGGGAAAATCAAAAGCTATTTTGGAAACATCCTGCGACTGGAGGTCACAGAGAAGTGGGAGAAGGAAGTTCATCCAGAAGTGAAGGAAAACCTCTACCACTCCTCGGTCTCCTTTGATATTCAAACGGTATTTAATTAGTTGGGGCAAAGTGTGGGGGGCTCTGTGGCTCCAGGGAAACCGGATTGTTACCTTCTGGCATGGAGGTACTGCCTCCTGTGATAATTTATGTTAGTCACGCACTGGCAGAATACATTAGAGCAGAAAATGCCATTTATTACAACTTTTAGCTCTCCCGCTTGCCTTCTAGCTGCAAATTAAACCTGCTGTCAATTGTGTCAGCAACATAATAGGCAACTGATTTTAAAGTCCTTAAATCTCTTTGATTAAAAAGAAGAAAAGAGAGAGGGAGAAAAAGGCAGAAAGAAAACGTTTGTTAGAAAAACCCCTTGGCTGAAAGAGTGACTTTGTCCCGGGGCTGTGGCAGCCACGGAAAGGCCGTAGGCAGTGACAGCCACTCCAATTTAAACACTACAAAAAACAAAAGCTCCTGCTAGCTTTAGGGACTACAGGGTAATAAATCCAGGAGGGGTTTGGATTCATTCTCCTCACTCAAAGGGTTGAGTCATTTCGATTAAATAATACCAAAAAAAAGAGAGGGAGAGAAAAAGAAAGAAAATCAAAGAGTTTTGCCTGCCGCCGTGACTCTTTTTCCATAGAGGAATATTACATGCTGTGTGATCACCGGGAAGGAAGGTCTGAATGGGATGAGCAGATGGGTAGGATGCCTCAAGAAGCGCCAGAGCGGGACAGCAGCCTGCCTCACTCCGGGGTTTTGGGAATGGGAATTAGGGAGAAGTCCCAGTGCAAGCAAGATTTCGGGGTGATGGCCGACCCTCTGTGTGGCCCCGATGTCACTCCTGGGGAGGGGGCTTCTGTGAGCCCCCAGGGATGGTGCTTATAGCCACCCTCACCATGAGGACAGGGGGACAGATCAGCTCCTCTTGGACATGGGGTTGGGGATTGACGTCTCCAGCAAATCACCCCAAAAGAGGAGGATGGCACCAGGGCAGCTTGGGGCTCCAGTCAACACTGCGTCTAACTCACGCTCAGACAGCGGAAGGACACTGGGCCTTTAGGGATGAATGATTATGCCACAAATCAGTTTGTGCCTCTTGGCCCATTCTGGATTATTATTTTTAAAACTGCCAGAGAATAATCAAAACCACCTGGCAACAAGTCAGCTGTTTCCTCCTTTGCTAGGCGAGTCATTTTTATCAACTAAAGCTGCATAAGAACCTTGTGAAGGATGTTTCGCCTGTGCTTGTCCCATTCACTGGAGTTTTTTTGTGCCCTTTTCTAGATCATCGGGGAGCACACAAAGATATCTGGAGCAATCAGTAGAAGCCTGGAAATGAAAATGCTTGAGCTGTGCCTGGCAGAGCTGCATGAATTCATACCAAGGTCATTGCCGCTCTGGGCAGCGTATTCCTTCCAGATGAGTCCCACATTGGTAAAAAAGCAGGGAAAAGGTCCATGCAGTGGGCCAGACCTGGCACTGAGCAGGCACAGGCCTGCTCCTAGGAGAATTAGAGATCACAATGAGCCCAGTAATGAGCAAGCTGCAAAACAACTTGGAGGGAGTCATAAATAGACCCAGATGGGACTCTTGCAAGTCCCAAAATCTGAGGTCAGAGCTCCAGGAAGGAGCTGCTGCCTGGAAAGGGATGGGACCACTGTGGTCCCATCCATCTGGGACCATTGTGGTATTGGATGCTGGTTGCTTGCAGCTGCAGCCATGGGCAAGCAGCAGTTATGGACCCCCAGACCCAGACCCTGCTTGCCCAAAACATCATCTATGTGTCCCAGGGTGAGTCCTGCCAAGAGGGTTTTCTTCTGCATGCTGTGGCTGTGGGCATAGAAATGGCTGATGGGACCCTCTCTGTTACACCCGGGCAAAACATATAGCTGGGCTGTCTTCTGAGTCTTTCTAAAATGTACCCGTTGTCCAAAGGACACAGGACCCTGCACCTTTGCTGAAATGACAGTTTTCTGCTTGGTAGTCCCCGAGTTATGGCCTCAGCTCTTACCCCCTCTGACATGCTTTGGGAATGCTCCAGGGAAGGTTTTTGGCTCGCAGAGGGTCCCGGCACAGCAACACGCTGTCTGACCTCTCCAGTGGGGCTGTGTTTTGGGGGGTTCGTGGCCGCTTGCCAGAGCAGCAATCTACAGAACAGAAAGGCTGTGCGGCATGAATCAACTCTGAACAAGATTAAAAATAATTTCGCATTAACCTTTGAAGTTTCCCACCTCTGGCAGGCGCTGCTTGGAGAGTTTGCTAGTAGACGTTTTGCAGGAGTGAGGGTAAGGAGCCCGAGCACTCCTTTCTTAGACTGTGAACCCAGGGCATGGCAGGTGTCCAAAGTGTGCTAAAGGCAATGTTTCCCTTCTAAACCCTCAGCCAGCAGTCCATGCTTGTCTCCCATACCCTGAGTGAGCAGGGGTTTTGGCTATTACCAGCTATTTGGCTTTGAAGTCTGCCTGGGTTTTGAAGGAGAAACGCAGTACTAAAGTTCTGTTCTTTATTTTTTTCCTTTTTTCACCCTTTTTTTCTTTGTTCTTTTTTCTTTTTTCTCTTTTTCTTTATGCTTTTTCTTTCCTTTTTTCTTTGTTCTGTTTTTAAATTATTTTTTCTTTTTTTCCTTTTCTTTTTTTTTAAAACAAAATTGGTGTAAAATGCAAGCCAGGGCAGCAAGGGTTCCCAGATGAAAGGGTCACTGAAACTTAAGCTTTTTCTTAAACAAACCTGAGATGCAAGCAGCTGAGGCTGGCCTGAGCAGGTTCCTTTACCCTGACAAAGAATGGGACCACCAGGCAAAACCTGCCTGAGCATGCAGCCTCCTGCCAGCAGTGCAGGTCTGGGTGTAGAACAGCTGTCAAAACCCTAAAAGATGTGCTACACAGAAAACAGCTACCTAACACACCATGCTAGGATTACAGGGGGAAAATGCCGCCCCGTTCCTATTCACCTTCTGTTGTAAAATCAGCCCTAAGGTAAATCTTCTCCTTGTGTGCTTAAGAGGACACATATTATATTGCCCCAAAAGCCAGAGAAATGAAGGACCAGACTGATGACCCTGAGCACCACGGACACAATTAATCTGTCGTTGTGAGGTAAAGTCAGAGATTTGGCGTGCTGAGATCCCTGGCATCTCTCCAAAAGTGCTGTGTGCCCGCTCAGGTGAGTGTACCCTAAACCCATAATTATCTACCATCTATTCCCCACCAATGCACATGCATGTTATGACAGCTGGAAAAAAACACGTCCGCATACAGAGGGGGCAGTTTGGGTCAGCCACCGGTGTCTCCTGACATTGCCGTGCACGCAGCTGAGCCATCCTCCGTACCCCCACCGTGAGCATTACCTGTGTGTCTTCTCCCGCAGGTTTGGGGAGGAGTTCGTCGTGTGGAGCACTGCCCGGGACAGCCCCATCTTTGCGCCCTATTTCGTTGCCTACGTCAACAGCTTCCACGACCTGGTGTAAGTCCGCTCTCCCTGAGCAGAGCTGCCGCGTTGCTGGGGTCCGGGAGGGTGGCAGTGCCCGGAAAGGAAAGACCAAGGTCCCCTTGGGGTGCACCACTGGGTGCTCAGCTCCAGCCCTTCCTCACCTCGCAGGGGGCTGTTCCCCAATAGATGCAGATAAAAGTCACAAGGGTGAAGAGGCAGAAGCAGGGTTGGACCCAGTGCTTGCGTGAAAGCTTTAAACTCATTTTTCAGCCCATCTTTTTCAGCCTCAGAGGAGGGGGTTTTTTTCATTTTTTGTCCTGGAGGCTAGCAGTATAAACCCAGCAACATGGTTTGAAGGCTGCTTTTGGCACCGGGCTGGAGGAAACTCTGTGAAAGCACTCAACCTGCAAATAAACCCCTGCCATCGCTGCTGGCAGCAGGAACTTCTAGGGCTTTGCTTGTGTTATGAATTAGTTATTTAAAGCCATCCATTGAAAAGGCCCCTGATGAACAGGTATGCCCACCAGCTCTGACTATCAGAGTGCTTCCAGGAGAGGGACACTCTCCCTGTAAGCAGGATGGTGCCAGTCAGTGCGTGTCCCAGGGTCTGTCCATCAGCCCAGTGCCGTGGCACAGGACGACCTTGCAGGTGCCACCGCGCAGCCGCCAGCGCAGCCGCTGCAGCCCTCCTGTGCCAGTGCCCCGGGGAACCGAGGCTGTTCGTACAGCACCAGTCCCGGGGGGACGGTCTGCGGCCACGCGGGGACACGGTCCACCGGGGCCCAGGGGCTCTTCAGCATCTGGGGTCATCCCTGCCGTGCAGATGCGGTGCTTCGGAGGCCAACCGACACGGCGTCAACGCCTGGGGTCTGGCCACCAAAAAGCTTGGGTTGTTATCTCCAGCCCACGCCGCTGCATCGCTGCCTGGCCCGGCCTGCGGCGGGGATGCTCTATGCCAAATATTATTCAGGGGCTGCAGAGGATTTCGCGTTGCAGTGTCTCACAGGAGCCGACGGCTCCAGCCGCAGTGAGCACTACCGTCGGCAAGTCTCTAGATGGCACGGTCTCTCCAGCAATGCTAACCTCGCCGAGGAGCTGGCTTTCTCTGCCTCCTCCTGCCCCTGCGGAAAATGGCTCTGCCATTCCCTGCTGGGGACTGGAGAGGTGGGGAAGGGGGAAGCCAGCCCCAGGCAGGGACCTGGCAGGCGTTTGGGTGGTGGGTTGGCTCCGCGGGGTTTATTCCTGAGTCGGGTTAAGTATTCGTCAGCGTGGGGTGATGAGTTGCTGGGCAGAGGTAGGTGACCTAACAGCATGGTTTTGTGGATGCTGGAACCAGATTTCAGGTGTTCAGCAGGAGTTATGGACCTGACCCCCCAGCCTGGGGCAAGAGGGATACTCTTAGGTGTTTTGTAGTCCTGCCTGGGCAGCCTCAGACATATAAACTAGCTACCAGGCAGCGGCAGGAACCCGCCGTGCTCTGTGGTCACAGCAGTGGATGTGGCACGTCCAGGGATGCTCGGGGACCACTAGCATTTTGGCGGTGCTGCCTCAGTTCCCCCCGGAGAGTGTTTCAGCAGGGCAGGGATGGAAAGTGAGAAGAAAGCCGGGAGCTCACAACGGCCCCAAAACCTGCACATACTGCTGGGGATTTCATTAACCCCTCAGAAGCTGTGTTTTCATCCTCATCAGTGTGAAACCTTGCAGAAGTACACACGGTCCCTAGGAAATTCCACAGGTTTCCACTGCTGAGAGACGCTGCATGGAGTGAGTTAGCCAGGCTCTGGGGGAGGAAGGGTCAGCAGCTTTCCCTTCTCTGGCTTTATTATTTATTTCTCTCTTACCCCATAAGCTCCTCTGTGCTCTCTCAGACACCTGGCCATCATTTAGCAGAAGTGTTGCTCAAGTGAAAAAGTAACCAGCCTACGCAACCGCTCTGCATGATTGAATTGTCCCACCTGATGACGAAATAGGTGTTTTTTTAGGCACAGTTACTCATTTGTGATTAATTTTCAGTGTACAGGATTGTGCAAAAAGAGTTCTTACTTTGACCCATTAAGTGTTTCCAAGAGGAAGTACTAGATGTGCAAATTTATTTAAAAATAATGCCCAAGATGCCAATCTGGATAAAATGCTTAGGACAGTGTAATAGTTTACATTTTAACATTAACCTGTTGGTGGTCTCTCTCTCTCTCTCTCTCTCTCTAGGTCAGGGTTAGAAACAGTGTTTAAAGTCAACACTGAGGAACTGCAGAAGATTTTGGCAGCTCTGACAAGGAACTTCACAAATACTTTTTTAAATAAATTAAGAACAAAAGCGCAGGTAAGAGGATCTTGGCCACATTAGTTCCTAAATATAAGGGGTATGTGCAGGACCACTGCAGCAGCTGAGGGCCATTGCACTTCCCTTGTCTGGCCAACTAGACCTCATTTTGGCAGCGCATGACATTATGGTCCCTCCAAAATGCATTTTGCCTAACATTCACAGAAATCCTCCTTAATCCAAAGTGACACTTCCAGCATCCTGGGAGTTTTTTACTATGAGCAATGATACATTTGTCAAGCTGTTTAACTTTAGTACAATGGCAACTAAAAAAAAGGGTGGCTTCCAGCATCTCAGGCAAAGCAGTCAGGGAAACCTTATCCATAGTGAAGCACCGGGGAAGTCAGCTGGACACCACCAGTGGGACATTTTTCCTTCTATCCCAACATTTGGATTTTTCAGGACTTTGATTTACTTATTTGTAGATCTGCGATCACAGTCTGTTATCAACCTCTTCAGACAGGAGAGAATTCATCCTGGCAGAGGTGATTTTTCCAGGCTGTTTCCATGGTGAAGAAAAACTGATTCTTTCAGTGTGAGGATGCTAAAGCTCTGGTGTCAGCTGATAAAGCTCTGATATCAGCTTAACTTAAGTTAAGAGGCCTATAAGGCAACATGCTGCAACGCAGTTTGTGCTTCCCAGCTCTGCTCTGAGCCAGTTGGGGCTCCACTAGCCCTAGCTGGTACAACACAAGAAATGGGGGAAATTAAGCTTTGGTGCCACCCCTTTTCACTCATCCTAATTCACTTTTTAAATCACCAAGCATAACTTTCAGAAACCAAGACAGTCACGCAACTGCTCCAATCTAAGCCAAGCCCGCCTGGCCAAGGGGACTTTCCAGTGACTGCAGAGCATGTCTCAGAGCCTAAGTAAGTGGCAGGCAAGGAAGGAGTCAAGCCAAGGCATTGAGCAAGAGACCCGAAATGCCGTGAGAACTGAGAGCAGCCAAGGCAAAGCATTTCTAAACAGCCCGCCAGCAGGCTGGGAGCACAGCAGGAGGGCACAAGTGGGGGAAATAATTGGGAAGGAGGTTGCCAGGAGCCTAAAGACAGAGATCCTGAGAGCTAAGAGGAGAAAAGTACAAAGGGGATGTGTCAAAGAAGGGATATTTTGAATTTGACCCTTAGGGGAGTCTCTTCCAGGTGCCACCAGAAGCCTTTAGCAGATATTGCTGTGTTTCTATGTGGAGGCACGTTAGCTCTAGGGACCTGGCAAGGGAAACAGCCCACTGGGGACACTTCGTCAGAGCACCTTGAACGCAGGGCAGATGTGAAATGGTGCCATCACTCCCATGTCATCAGTGACCATGAGGCATCAAGTCAGGGATGTTCCCAGCTGCTATTCCCCCCCACCACATCAGAGCAATGAGCAGAAGGAAAATCCCAGTGAGATTTTGTGCAGACACATGGGTCTGGAGGGAGTAGAGACAGCCCCCTGCAAGTGCTGTGAGCAAGAGGAGCTTGATTTCTGTGTGGAGAAGACTGGAGGGGTGATGGATTACTGGGCTGATTTCCAACAGATTTACTACCAAGTGACTTGTCATGGCCATAGCTGGTGCAAACCCATTTAACACTAGCATACCTGGTTGCATACCACAGCCTGTTCTAGCCATGCCTGAGTTTCATCTGATTAACATTCACATCTGTTTCTTCATCGATACAGTAGGGATACAAATTTATTTACCTAAAGAAATACAGCTGGTGGATTAGAAGGTGGTACAGAGCAAGGAGATGAGGTGTCCCAAGTAAGCCTTTAATGCCAAAGCATCTCCTGCTCAGGGAGTGATGCTTCTCCTGTCTGCACTGGGGTGCCTACCCAGAAAGGGAAGGTGTGGGTCTGAATTCCATGGGGTGGAGAGAGAAACCCAGCCTGCTCTGTGCCCCTGGTGCCTAATTCCTGGTGAGTCTTCACGCAGAGTGGGTGCGCAGTCGGTGCTCTGTGCTTTTTGGTTCAAGGCCCCCGAGCAGGCTTACAGCTGGGTGCCTTCAGCTAGTGCATCAGCTAGTCTGAATATTACTGGTGCCACCAGTGAGTTGGTCTTTTTTCAGCCACTCCTTAAGAAAATCCTCACCAAGGACTGGATTTTGGCGACGGAAAGGCCAGACTCGCTGGCGTTGGCAGTCTCGCAGTTCTCCAAGCACCTGCAGCACATGAGGGAGCCCATGGGGCAGGTAGGCGGCTGGTCCCATGCCCGGGTGCAGTGATGCTGGGGGGGTCCCACTGTCATTTGCAGGCTGTGGTCCGATCTGCAGACTCCTTTCCAGTGTCAGGGGGTGTTTATAATTGTGGGGACTGTTCATGTGGGGGAGTTCAGCTACTACCATACTTACACGTGAGCATAAGCAACATCTTCCCTTTCTGTAGTTTAAATACAGGAACTGATTTCTTTAAAGAGGAATAAAAAGCTCTGGTGAACGTTACCACTGAACATTATAATTCCATGAGTCATAGGCTTATGTGCTCCTTTCACATCTATGTAGTTTTGAAATAAATGGGGAGGTGACAACAGCTTTATATTTAAAATTTGCAAGCACCATCAAAACCTACTTTTAAAACAATCCTAAATATTGCCCTTTGCTACTGAGGACCCAAACTGCCAACACAATATTATGGGCTATTTCAGGGTATTTCCATGGCATTCCCTTGGGCACTGCCATTGCTGTCTGCTGGAGCAAGGGGCTGCCAGCTCCCTTCGGCAGGGCTGGCCTGGGCAGCATGTGCTGATGGTGTGCTGCCTTCGTGTACCTCTTCCACACCCTTGGCTGCTGCTAAAGACTGAAAGGCTTCCCCTGCCTTATCTCACTGCTGTGGCCTTGCATGGGAACCACAGAAAAACCACGAGGCTTGATTTTTTTAAACAGGAGCTCCTACGTGATATTCATAAGTACGTGGTGAGGGAATACATCATGCAGGTCATCAAACCCAGACGGAAAATGAATGCGGAGACACAGCAGCAAGTGAGTGAAAAGATGAACCAGGAAGCCAGAATCCTTAATAATACACTCATTGATCAGGTATGTTAGTTCCCTCCTGGCATCCCCTGACTTCCCTGTTCCCAGAGGTGCAATATCCCTGTGCTTGGCTTCCCGGGGACTGAGGCGGCAGGCTCTCAAGGAGGGCAAGCCTCAAGAAATGTAAAAATGCCTAAAAGAGAGCAGGCGAGGTGGTTACTGCAGGTTCATGGTGTGGACTTCCAGCCCCGCGGCCACTCTGCACTAGCGGCTTGTGCGTGCTCAGCTGGCAGCTCTCCGATTGCAGCGCAGGGTGTTTTAACACACTTCGAGGTGCACGGGCACTTTGCGTAGGATGGTTTGTGTGCTGTAGGATCGCACTCATCCCGTGGCAGCTTCCTGCTGGGTGTGTTCCCTTGGGCCATGGGATGCACCTTGTCTCCGAAGGATCCCTACCCTGAGTACAGCTCAGGGGGATGAATCCGTCGAGAAGGTCCATCCAGGCACACAGTCTGCAGACAGGAGGGTGATGGGGAGAAAATTGTGGCTGTTGGTGTGTTTTGTGACTAGGCAACATCAGCCTGGGATTCTCAGGGAAGCCGAAGTCGAATTAATTGGATTTTGCAGAAAGTCAGGTGTCCGGGGCACCAAGTCCCACTGAGGCAGATCCCTCTCAGAAATGAAGCACATGAAACTATCAGGCACCAGGAGGTGAAGTCTCTGGCATCCGCTGCCGTGCCAGACTACAACCACAACGCCCTGCTCAGGGTCTGGCTAGCTGGGGTGCTCATGAGCATCGGGGAGCACGGAGTCAGGCCCCAGCAGAGCTCCCGGGGGTACGTTGCCATCGCCGCCCAGCGCTGCCTCGGCCAGCATCCTGGTGCCCCCCAGCAGCACGCTGCCCACCCGAGGGCAGCCTGTCCAGCCTGCAGCAGTGCTGTCTTACACCAGTAAAAGCATCCTGCTGCTGTGCTCTGCACTGCAGGTAAAAAGGCACTTTGCAGGTGCTGTGCTCCCCCCTGACATCCCTGTATGCCTCCTTGTTTGCAGGGCTCTGACTCTGACTGGCTTCTTCCCGCCATACACCACATTGCCAATATAATTGGGGAGAAGAAAAAAGACAGGATCAAGGAGTACGTCAAGGAGCTGTGTCAGGATTATCCGGATATCAGGTACATGAAATGGCAGATGCCAGAACTGCTGGGCTCCATCCCAAACAGCACGAGCTCGCCCCATGCCTTGGCCAAGCTCTTCAGCTTCTCTTCTCTGCTAGTAGCTACATGTTAGAGGTGCCAGCAACAGGGGGAATCCCGCCTTATTTTTCTTTCTCTATGACTGTATCCTTTCTCTTTTTTCCCCTTTCTGCTGGGTCTTATAATGCACACAAGTTACCTCAAAAGCATTTTCATTTTAGAATAGAATAGAATAGAATAGAATAGAATAGAATAGAAAGAAAAGAATAGAATATTTCAGTTGGAAAAGGCCTACAACAATCATCTAGTCCAACTGCCTGACCACTTCAGGGCTGACCAGAAGTTAAAGCATGTTGTCAATTGTCCAAATGCCACTTAAACACTGACAGGCTTGGGGCATCGACCACCTCTCTAGGAAGCCTGTTCCAGTGTTTGACCACCCTCTTGGTGAAGAAATGCTTCCTAATGTCCAGTCTAAAGCTCCCCTGACACAGCTTTGAACCATTCCCTTGCATCCTATCACTGGATACCATTTTATTTCTCCAGATGAACCTTGTTTCACTGTAAAGCTCCAGGTTGCTTTTCAGTTCATTACCAGTATTAGCCCAGCTTGCCAATTTACAGGCTCCAGCTTTGGAGCAAATAGTTTGTCTCCTGTTCCCAGGCTCAGTCCTCAAAGTGCAGCACACATTGACACAGTGCAGCTACAGTTTCTGAAAGGCCCTCAACACAACCACTACATTTTGGAAGAAATTACAAATTCTTTCTTTTGTACTTTCCATTTGCTGTTCCAAAGCAGCATCTACAAAATTTAAGGCTACTGGAAACGTAAACAAACAAAGTGACTAGCTCTGTCTATGACTAGGCAGCTGCATATCAGAAGTTACCTCCTCTGCTACAGCTCTTCTACCAGCTATTGAGGAGGAATATCAGTGGTACAGCTTGCAAAAAAATTCCATTTCATCAGAGTCATTTCAGAAAAGGACTAAAGGTTTTTGCACTGGGTTACACAGTTCCTGCTGGATAACAGTTATACAATCAAAATAAACCATAAATTTAACAAATTGCTCAGAACACTGAAGTGGACCCTCAAATATTCAGAAAAAAATGACATTAAGTATATTTTCTTCTCCCCAAAACTAAGGCTCAAAATTTTTCATAAGTATATTTAACTTAAGTGGGTCAGTTATGCTTCAAGCTTATCTGTGTGGAGAAATTCAAACATGGACTTGAAAAAGAATAATTGTTCTGGAGTCATTTCCTAGGTGAACACATGTATCCTACAAAAAAAAAAAAAAAGCCTTAATCCCAGTGGCCAGACCAAGCTGATGAAGGAGGCAGTGCCTGTTCTGGGAAGGATGGGAGAGGTAAATAATGACTAGTCAGGCTTAGCTACTTGAAGGCAATTTTCCGGGCAGAAAAGCCATTTACAAGGCTATGATTTGTGGTACTTTTTCATCATTAGCCTTAGACCCAAGCCAGGTCCTCTTGGTTGATCTGTTTCCTGGCTTTCCGTTATTAAGTAATACTATTTTTAACAATTAAGTTTGGGAAATAAGGCAGAACCTGCTGGACCTGCATTGCTTCCTGTTCAGGTCTCTGTTAATTCTTCCCCTGAGCTCTCGGAGATGTTGCTGAATTTGTATATATCAAGATTACTGGAACAGGATATGTTTCCAAGTTGGCTTTCCCAGCTCTAATCTAATTAATGCCTGTCAGCTTCCTAAATATTAGCACTTCTATTACTCAACTCAAAATAATCATTAAATAAAAGGTCTGCAGCCTCTCAGGAAAACTTGCAAAAGACATCACGTGTGTGTGGAGAGGGAGGAGGAAATTCCCCAAAGCACCAGCAGCAGGAGTGTGTCCCACCAGCGCAGAGTGTTAGGAGCTGATGCTCGCTGGCTCGGTACCTCCGGCGGCTGCAGACCCCCGTCCTGGTGGCTCCTCCAGCGCTTTGCCGTGGCCTCGCTCCGCCTCCGGCATGGTTGTTGGTTGCTTACCTCTGGGCTGGTTTTTCTTGCCAGGACTGAGCGAGGTCTTGTTTGGTTTCTGCAGGAAGGAGCACGTCCTGGCAGTCCTCGCGCTCCGGGGGCTGGGGCGCGCCAGGAGAGCGGCAATTTTCCGGCAAGGCTACCATGTGTTGGAGAGCCCCGACGGTAGGGAGGACAGCACGCTCTTCGCTGAAATTGATGCCCCGGTGTCCATCAGCTGCTTCTAAAACAGAACCGAAACAGCAGCCAGCATCTTCCCTCCTCCTACGCTGCCTCTACGGAACGATCCAAAATCTGCTACCCCACCTCGCTCCTCTGCAAACAAAACTTTTTGACGGCCATGAGAAAAGAAGTAGTTTTCTGAACTTGCTAGCCCGAGTTCAGAAACCAAAGGCAACAGACGTGCCAAGACACTGACCTCCTGCAAGAGCTCCTGGGCAGCAACTCCAGGCACTGTGTCCACCCTGTGTTCAATACAGATTTTATTGCTAGGAGGCTGCTCTGTTGTTTGGTCCAAGTTTGAGTCTCTTTTCAGAGAACAGGAGAAAACCAAAAGGAGTTCACTCAGAGCTATATTAAGGCTTGGACCGTGCACTGCATAATTATACAGCAGCAGAGCAAGAGCCTCCTTCATAATTAGTGTCCCTGAGCAACTGAGGGGCAGAGCTTGGGCAGGGATGTGGTAGTGCCCAAGTCTTATTTCCTCCCCTGTGAACCAGCTGGCTGAGCTGGCATGACACAAGGTTGGTGACATTGTGACCTGATGCCACAAACCACTACCTGCCCAAGGAGGAAAACCTTGGAGGGTAACCAAACCCCACAGCTGGGCTGCGTAGCGCATGGACCACTCTGCACTCCAGGACGGACCCTGTGGCCCTTCTGGTGTTTCAGCAGATTTTCCTCATTCATGGGCTGCCTTGCAAAACTCCTGTTGGACTGAAGACCTGTTCATGCCATCACAGCCTCTCTGTGTGGGCAGACATGTCTGGATCGGACATGCCATGTGGAGGGAGGCTCCGAGTCCTCCTTGCCCTGGGGAAAAGGGCCACCATGCCCCTAGTCCATTTTCTTGTATGTTCAAACATATTTTAACAAATCTGGTACAATCTGACCACAGCATGAAACCTAATGTGAGGTGGACAGGCACAGTGCTACAGATCAGATCCTCATCTGGTGTAAACCAGCATCACCCCATTGATGGACATGGAACACCACCGGTTTAACTCCTTGAGGGATTGAAAGCGTTACATCCAGCATCTGCAGGGGACACTAAAAGAGACATCCAGCAGCCTACGGCCGTACAAATCTGATTTTATTTAATCCAATTTATCCTTTAGGTTGCCCTCTGCAGGAATTAATCCAAGACTCTGTACGGAGACATGTTTATGATCTATCAATTAATGTGATAAATGTGGACATGGCATAGCCTTGAACACTAATTTGTCTGCTGCAGAGCTTAGAGCATCAGTAGTGAGCATCTTTCGTTTCTTTTGCTCTGGTTTGCACCAGTATAAATTTCAGCCCGGGTGAGCAGCAGGTGCTGGTGACAAGCCAAGGGAGCTGTTCTGATGGATAAGAAATACAGAGTGCACCTTTAATTCACAATCATTGTAAGAAAATTTTTCTAAGGTAGACTTGCTACCTCCA